CTGATATTTTGAATTTTTTGTCCTTTTGACTATTTTAGTAAACTGTGTTTTTCTAGCACTGACAAATCCACCGGAGGAGCCTGAGTAAGTATTATTTTTCAACAATCTTCTTTGGGTATATCTGATTTCTTTGAGATTCTCCAAGCGAGGATTGTTGCATATTTTTTGATTGTTAACGGCTCGTCTCTTCTTTTTTCACTAGATATGTTTTTGCAGCTATTTATACCATTGAAATGATTTTGAAAATAATTTCTAAAGGATTTGCGCTTCACAAATATGCTTACTTACGAGACCCTTGGAATTGGTTAGATTTTGTGGTTGTGATTTTAGGGTAAGTAGCTTCAATTATCTCGACAGTGGCTCTGTTCATTATTATTCATCATTTTAGTTTCTGAGTAATTAACGACTGCTTTGGTTTTGGTTTCTTACGCTCCTTGATTGGTCTAGAAATTTGCACACCGGAATCAGAAATTGCAATTACGAGCTCACTCGGGTTTTCTGTTTTCAAGGAGTTTCCATGGTATCAGTTAAGACCCGACTGAATAACGTTTATAGTTGTTATGGTTTGTCGTTGATCCTTCTTTGCTTTGGTACTACGAAACTTGCCCAAACTTAGTCGAACAGAGCTCAAATAACATAAAATTAATGTTAACTAATTGAGATCCTTATCTTTCTTTAGGTATGTAACACTCGCTCCTGGCGTGCTGGCAAATCTGTCAGGGATTAGGACGTTTCGCGTTTTTAGAGCCTTGCGGACAATTTCAGCCGTGAAAGGTACGATGTATATAAGTTTTAAATGAACCAGGAGTTGATGAAGAGAAATGTGCTTAAATAAATGTTGTAAAGCAAACGTTCTGACCGCCCTTTAGCTTGTATTAAAATTTCTGTTATAAAAGGCATAGCTGAGGAAAAACTTAAGAAGTCGTATACACAAGCATGGGTAGCCAATGTTTTCTTTTTAATATTCAAGGAAGTTATGGAGGTTGCTGACAAAGGCTTTGCTTAAATTCTCTAGCAGATGCCTTAGTCTCTAACAATTCATACTTTTCATATTTGCAGGGCTAAAAATGATGGTAAACACCCTCCTGGTTTCAATGAAGATGCTATGGGATGTACTCATTCTCACTATGTTCTTCATTTGCATTTACGCACTTGTCGGAATGCAAGTGTTTGTGGGTGTACTAAGAAATAAATGCGCGGAGCCTGTGCCAGAAAATCTTCAAATTTCGTACAAGGATTACGCATCCAACTCAAGTGAGTACGTCATGTAGTTATAACTTAATGTCGCATGCAGGATAAATAAGGTCAATCAGTAATCATAAAACAAACTGAACTATATAACTAATTGGTTATTTATTAATATGAAACAAATCAAGAGAGAATCCTCGTTTAAACAAATAGATTCCACGTTACCATGCGTCTGTTCTGTAACAGTAGATCGCAGAAAATCATCGGTCAAAAGGTAGTAAGTACAGCATTGGTACGCTTGGCTGCGCCTCGGGTGTTACGATTTTGTTCCCACCACAGCTTGACATTATCAGTGATTTATTATGGGACAAACGCACTACACATGGAAATCGCTTGCAAGAACAGAAGTTAGACTTTGTCTTGTTAAACGAAATGGTTTGTATAAGGTATTAGGCTCATATCTTAACAAATCTTTGTTCAAATAAAATCCTTTGGTCACATTTACATGTTGCGCCCGTAGATGTGTGGATACTTGATCCCGATGGACAGCCTATCGTTTGCGGAAATATTTCTGGTGCGATGTAAGTGAATATATTCTTCATTTCATATGAGTTGAAACGAGCTGATCGTCCTATCAAATTTTTGGGGGAATCAAAGAGAGATACGAAGCAATGACATAGTGTGCTAAATGATATGGGAACCAAACTCAAGAAGTGTCTTGTCCCTAATATAAAATGCATATAAATATGTCAACTCCTGGAGAGAAAAATTATATTTCTTCACTACTTTTCTCCGACAGGCACTGCGCGGCCAATCAGAGCTGTCTTTCTCACGCAGGCGCAAATCCAAACTATGGATACACCAGCTTTGATCACTTCGGCTGGGCCATTATGACGTCATTTCAACTTGTTACCTTAGACTTCTGGGAAAATGTGTACAATAATGTGAGTGATATAAGTTTCTGAAATCTTACGACACACTGCGTAACAAATGATTCACGTCAGTTAGTTGCATGCGAAAGTCAGTCAACCTGATTGGCAGACAGTCGGAGAGTCAGCGAGTCAGAAAGTCCTTGTGATAGACAAACTCAGTGGCAAACAGACACTTGGAAAGAAGCCGGGCAGTTAATCAATCAAGCTGATTAAAAGACAGGCAGACGATCAGACAAGTATTCAGACTATCAGCGTTATAAGCCACACAATTCAATTAATTACTTCGAAACTGGCAGACAGAGAGTTGGTCAAACACTTAGCCCGCGTGGCTGGCAGACATTCGGAAATTCGTATTTTTATTATGAAAGAAAGTCAGACAGACGGACAAAATTTTACGTACAATTTAAACTGCATTTTTATCTTTTCAATGAATATTATCTAACATTAATGCAACTAAGTACGATAACTAAATGAAAATATTAAAAACAATAATAGTGTAATGATAATCGCAATAACGTAGTGTTGCCTTCTTTCATTCTGTTGCATTTGTTTGGTTTGTTATACTCAAGTCACGAGTGGTATTAACAGCTGAACATCTCTGTCTTTTCATCAGATCCTATTTGCCATGGGTCCCTGGTCTTTAATTTATTTCCTAAGCATTGTGTTGTTTGGCCGATTTTATCTCATCAATCTTGTTCTTGCTGTAGTGGCTGCATCTTATGAAAATGAAGTGCAAAACTCTCGACAGGTAAGTCATAAAATTTTCCGGCGAAACAGTGAAATCTGGTGTTTTAATGCAATCAGCGAAACCAGGAGCATTTGACTGACTGGCAAATTAAGGTGCGAAGTTGGACCAAAACAAATTTTTAGAAAACGTTCTTCTGGTCTCTCCTCAAATGGATCAAATATAATATCTTACTCGACGCTTGCCGATGAGGATTAGGCCTCAAACTTCTGTTCTCTATTAGCAAGTGGCTCTGCGTTTTTATTAGAGAAAAAAACTGTTTGAATATATAATTTCACATTTAGGCAAAACCACCGGCATCATTGCTTCTGATTGGTTAGGTAATAAATCTCCGCTTGTTCTTAAGCCACAATACAGGGTAATTTAGATGCTTCTAAGTTATATGCTTCCTGCTAAACTCAAAACACGAATCAACCATATGAGTATTCGTACGATTTAGTTCCGTAGTTCCATAGCCCTGAATATAAGTTTGTCTATGAGACACAACAATTAGTTTTCAAACGGGAAGCAGACGGACACAAATTATTTTTTTCGTATGGTGCTGGGCAGTGAGTCATGCTCATCCTCCTAAGTAACATTCTGTTCTCTTATTTGTCAGGATAATGACAGCTTACGTCTCCAGCAGAAACAACAAGGCTCTTCTTTCTCACTGCGCAGCCGTAGAAGCATTATGAGTCTCGTGTACGGAGAACAAGATGTGGTCCTGGACGAGTCAATTCACCGAGCCATGTTCGATGTGGCAGCTTATGATAAAACTCATGACTCGTTGGCTCTGACGCAGGCAGAATCTGCATCAGTTTTCCAAATAAATCAAAGTGAAAGAGACTCAAAGCAAACAAAAGTTATGAATAAAACTGCAGAGAATAACAATTCCGGTGAGAGTCATGTTAAACCTCTTAAAAAGTGCTGCTCTTGCTGCGGAGCTGGAATCTTGTTGAAGTGTGGTTTCTGGAGACCGTTCCGGAAACACGTAAAGCGGATCGTGGAACATAAAATGTTTGAGGCTGGTATCATCATCATTATTCTGATCAACACGCTGTTTATGTCCCTACAATATCATGGAATGAACGAGGATTTGGCATTAGCAGTTGATATTGTTAATCTGGTGAGTATGCAAGCAGTCCAACTTTAAAAGCGCGAACATTCTTAAGAATGTAGATGTTAAACTGAGGGATTCTTGTTTCACAGGTTTGCACCTTCATATTTTTGATGGAGATGATTCTGAAGTTGATCGCTCTCAAGCCAAGTGGTTACATCAAAAGCCGGTGGAATATTTTTGATGGAGTTGTTGTTGTAATTAGTCTCATAGATACGGTATTAACTTTGTCAAACCTCATCGACAACACAGGAACAAGTGTTCTAAGGTCTTTCAGATTGGTAAGTACCGGCTTAAAAAATGAAAATTTGAACAGTTAGGGGGTTTTTCTTATGATTCTTTTGACTCACGACACAACTGGATGTTGTCATTTAGTCAAGTGGGAAATTTCATCCCGGTTCGCGCGCTGAGATTCCAGACCGCTCGGTTAACTAGATGTAATAGTTTGAGACCCAGATCAAAACCAAAGTATGAAATTTTTGAAATTTTTTAAAAGCGGAGAGTGGTGAAGTGAGGTCTCAAAAAGTGAACCAAGTCCGTTTGTTTTGATCATACAAGGAAGCACTCAGCCTTGGACTTAAACTTGATACACTCTCCTTCTTCAAAAGGGCAGGTAATAAAATTCTCGTTCCTTGATGTTACGCAGTCGAATAAGCTCTAGGAAACAGATTGTTGGGCTCAATAACATTTTTTTAAAATCCATATTTAAGTTTGGAGGCTTAAATTTAAAGAAGTTTGTCAAAAGAAGCAAAAAGTATCAGTTTCCTTCAGCTGATAATGTTTACTTCAGAATCGCGTCCAACGGGATGAAGCAAAACTTTCTTTTTTCGTAGCGCGCGTTTGCCTCACAATATTTAAATCTCTCTGAAACCAATAAATAAGAGTGTTTTTCTTTATCTTGAATCTTGTAGGTCCGCATTCTAAAGCTCGCTAAATCCTGGAGTACGATGTCCAGTCTTTTAGCCACCATAGGTCAAAGTCTGGGAGCTCTTGCCAATCTGTCCGTCATATTAGCCATCATCATTTATATCTTCGCTGTGGTCGGAATGCAGTTATTTGGTTCATCTTACACAGCGGATAAATTCGATGGTGAAGTCCCTCGGTGGAGATTTACAGATTTCTGGCATTCGTTTCTGTTAATATTTCGGATTATTTGCGGGGAGTGGATTGAGCCTCTATGGGACTGCATGAGAGCTGCGGGACCCGCTTCTATCATACTCTTCATACCAGCTTTTCTTTTAGGACACTTTATTGTGAGTAAATTAATTACGGCAAGGTCACATGTCTCCATGCGCAATGAAAGAAAGGACATGTTATCATGTAAACAGAAATGAAATACGGGAATCCGATCTTTTGCGGTTAAGGTGTTAAAAAATCGTTATCCGAGGGTCTTTTACAAACAATTCTAAACATGGACATTTTAAAACTGCTAAATGCTGTGAGGTCGAACTTCCCAATGCGTTTTACCCTTTGATGATGTATCGATGAAATTCAGAACCTTTTTTTCTGACACATTAATTCTCCTAGAAGCTCTGTTTTGTTCTCACACTCTAAAAGGTCGTGTTATTCTTTCCATAAGTTTGACAAATTGCTTTTTAAGATCGATAACAGTGCATTTTATTTCAGATCCTTAATCTTTTCTTGGCACTGCTACTGAGTTCGTTTGCTGGCCAAGCCTCGCTGTCTTCCGCTCGAGGAAACAAAAAGAACCGTATCTTAGGTCGGCTGAGGAAAGTTGTAATTGCATCCAACTTTATAAAAAGGATGAAATCCAAGGTGTGGCCCGCTCCGAACAAAGACACACAAACAGATGAGGTGATAGAAAGTAAGTGAACTTAAACAACCAAACTATTACGCTACTCTTCACGTGAACTCAATTTATAATGAAGAAAGAATGTGCTTTCTCTCTTTATTCGACAACCGAACCTAAAACCGACCATCTTTTTTGTTCTGTTACTCTCAAGACGCTTTCAACATTGTTGATTTTATAAGTATGCGGAACGTTCATCACATATGAACATTTTCCATGGCTTGCTTCATCAACGAACTCACTGTGGTTCAGTTGGTAAAACGTCCCAACGCGAAATTCGGGGGTCTAAGACTTAATTTTTCGTCGAGGACTCAGATGTATTGACTAGCTATTACTTTTAATGATTTAAGGAACAGGGAGTTGATTGCGATAGATAAAAAGTGCTGACGAATTTTGCATGGGAGTAAAGCTGTGTTCCGACGAAGGGTTTCTGCTCAGAACGTCAGCCTTTCAAAATTTGGTTTCATTTTATATTTACACCAAAAAATTGTCTTTTAGTCGGTAACGGCCATGCAGAAGCAATTAGTCCAGCATCGAGGAAAGCTTCTTGTGTGACAAGCCCGAATGATCCGCCACCAAGACGAGTGTGTTGTTGTTGTTCGCTGAACATTCGGGAATACGAAGTCGACAGCTGTTTTCCGACGATACATGGCTGCTGCACGAAGTTTGATGAGACAACTTGTCACGTGATTTGGATCTGGATTCGTTACAAGGTGAAATGCTTTGTGGAACACAAGTACTTTGAATGGTTCATAGTGTTTCTGATTGCAGCGAGCAGCATTGCATTGGTAAGTGAAATTTTTCTTATGCGAAACATAGAAACACTTACTTCTTTACTAAATAGCGATCAGATAATGTTAAAACAACGAATGGTTTAAAATTATGAACAAGTGATGATATATTAATAAACTCACAATGAGATTGGGAACACAAAAACAGTGTTTACGATATACTGCCTA